TTTTTGTCTTTTTGAGACAGGGTCTCCCTGTAGCCCCAGCTGTCCTGGAACTCACTATGTAGACCAGGCCAGCCTTGAACTCACAGAGATATGCCTCCCGAGTGCTGGGATTAAAGGCGTGTGCCAACATGATATTTTTTTATTACTTTTATTTTTATGTGTATGTATGTATTGCTTGCATGTATGTAAGTGCACCCATGTAGTGCAATGACCAAAGGGTACAGAAGAGGCCATTGGATCCCCTGGAACTGGAGTTACAGTTGTTAGCTGTCATGTGGGTGCTAGGATTCTAACCTGGGTCTTCTGCAAGAACAGCCAGTGCTCTTAACCACTGAGCCATCTCTCTAGCCCGTTATATATTTTAAAAGATATTTTATTTATTATTTTTATTTTATGTGAATGAGTGTACTGTTTGCATGTAGATAGGTACACTGGTGTTGTGCAGTACCTTTGGAGGTTAGTGCTCTTAACCACTGAGCCATCTCTCCAACCCCCTTGAGTTACATTTTTTAAGGGTTTTATAAGTGTTGCTTTACTGCTTTTTGTTTTCCTTTTGTTTTCAGTTTTTATAATGAAGAAATTCAAACCAGCTGGAATTTTACCCTTTTATCTGTTCATGGCTGCCAAAGCATTTATTGTTTTTTTGCTTGTTATTGTTTTTTTGCTTGCTTTGCTTGGACAGGAAATACGTCCCAGTGCTGACCATTCTGGGACAATTTTCTCTGGGGCATAGTATGTCTTTTTCAATAATAGACTCAAACTTTCTGTTATTCCAAAGAGATGGAAATTTTCAAATAATGTCTTTTCCTTCTTATCCTTTTACTTTATTTCCTTCTGCTCACCCAAAGGACCCAGAACAAACATCCCCACAGTACTATGAAACATGTAGTGCTCAGATTATGGTCTCTAAGTATTATTTAACTTTTCTTTCTTTCTTGTCTTTTTGAGACAGAGTCTCCTTGTAGCCCTAGCTGTCCTGGAACTCACTATGTAGATCAGGCTGGCCTTGGAACTCACAAGACCTGCCTGCCTCTGCCTCCCAAGTGCTGGGATTAAAGGTGTGTGCCACCACGCCCAGCTGAGCCTGAGATTCTAATTTTCTTTGTTCCTCTTCCAAATAGATTGGTCTTAGGTACTCTTTTTCTGTTTTTAAGTTACTACTGATAACGAAAAATGACAGTAAACACATCTATTCTACCCTATTCTAAATGGTTAGTACAATGTACAGGTGACACATCACAGAGGATTCAGGCAAACCATGACCAAATTTTTAAAAATTTATTTTTATTTAGCGTGTTAAGAATGAGTGACAGAGAAAGAAAGAGATTGAGAGAAAGAGAGAATATATCCATGTGTGGGGTCAGAGGACAACTTTGTAAAGTTGGTTCTCTCCTTACTCCTGGGGTTCCAGGGATCAAACTCAGGTAGTCAGATTTGGCAGCAAATGCTTTTTAGCTGCTGAGTCATCTCACTGGCCCCATGACCAAGGTTTAAAAAGCCAAGCACTGAATACTCAAGCACATGACCATGTACAACTATCCACATCTACTGAAAGACATTACTGAACAACCTTCAACAGAATCCATTTCTATCTCCCAAGTTCTGGGATTAAAGGCGTGCACCACCATGCCTGGCCCTTGATTTCTTTAAGGCATTTGCCATCTTAATTTTTTTCTGAAGCAGGGTCTCCCTACAGCCTCAGCTAGCATGAAACTCAGAGATCTACTTGCCTCTGCCTCTTAAGTGCCGGGATTAAAGGCATGTACCACCACGCCCAGCTGCCATCATTTTCTTTAATGCTACAAAAGATGACTTCTACATTGGTTTACTCAAGTCCTATGACCATAATAATTAAAATCTAGTGTTAAAGCTGTAATGAAATGCTTCTTCTAATCATGTAGTTATTAAATTTTTTTTTAAAAATGTCTTTAGGTGAAACTTTATCTCCTGCACGAGGCAGAAGCCCTAGCTTTTATCTCAGCTGAGGTTTCCTCAGAGTAGTACCAACTTTCCAGGCTCCCTTCTACCCTGTAGGAATTCAAAACAATCAAGGAAGAAGCAGCTTTGCTCTCTGACTACAGCAAACTAAAATATACCTTGCATTTCTCAAATCAAATACCTTTAGTGGATAATTGACATGGGTATAATATTTATGTTAAATAATTCTTGGCTCCTTACTTCAGAAAGCAAATTCTCCAGAGACATTGGATCCATTTTGCTGTAGACACTCCACAGATTCAAACTTACATCTTGCAACTGCAACAAAGGGCAAAAACATTGGAATAATTAAGTCAAATCACTGGGACAATCGGAGTTATTTCTGATACACAGAAATTTCTACTTTGTACAAACAGTGTGAGCATAATAATAAAAAAATTTTCTCTTAATTGTCTTAGAACCTCTACATATTAATAAGCCTTCCAATTCAAGGCAATTCTTTCCAGAGTCTTTGGTATATCATTTGATTATATTCAATACTAGCAATATGTATTTTTACATATACATACACGCTGTTTTTCTAATTAACACATGCCCATGAGTTTTAAAAAACCAAACAGTACAAAACGCTTATAATAAAAAATTTTAATTCTCTACTTTAACCTTTTAAGAAATCCCATTAGCCTTGCTCCTCAGAAACAACAACTTCATGCCAGGCGTGGTGGCACTCGGGAGTCCAGAGGCAGAGGCAGGCGGATCTCTTTGAGTTCAAGGCCAGCCTGGTCTACATAGTGAGTTCCAGACCAGATGAGGCTACAGGGAGACCCTGTCTCAAAAAGACCAAAAAAAATGAAACAACAACTTAAAGCTTATTTTCTTTTATTATTTTCCTTTGGTATTTATGTCCTTTTTTTTTTTTTTTTTTTTTTTTTTTTTTTTGAAAGAGGTTCCTCTTTTGCC